CATTCCAGATAGAGCTAGAAGTATATCATCCCTCAAAATAGCATTATTCTGTTCTAAAAGCTCCTTCATCTCTTTCTTCATTTCCTCCTTAGTTTCAGATTTATTCTGATCCAAAAGTTGTTTCATTTCCTCCCTAAACTGTGAGACAGCACTTACCATTATTTCTTTAATGTCTTGTGCTGATGTGCCAGATGGGGGAGGTGAAGGTGGAGTAGATTTAGGTTGCTGCACTGAGGGTATTATTTTAAGTTGTTGTTGCACAGTAGAAGTAGCAGGAGAAGAAGTTACTTTAGAAGCTGCAGTAGCTGGTTGTCGTTTTGAAGCCATTTTAATTTATCTTCCTTTCTTCTTAAAAATACCGATAAAAATAAGTAATCCAAAAAAAAATTAAAAATAAGATAAAATAGAATAAAATAAGATCAATCTAAAAGTCCCCAAGAATAAAAAAGTAAAAAAAGTAAAAAAAAAAGCAGTATTAAACAACAATTCAGCCGATCCGTCTTTTAAAGGAAAAAAAACTTTCAAAACGCCATTTTACTTTCACTCTCACTTTTCCGCCCGAAAAAAAGAGAAAGCTCAAAAAAATAAAAAAAAATCAGCAGATACTAAATAAACTAAATAAACTAAAAAAAATAAAATAAAGCTAAACTATAAATAAAATCCTTTAAACAGTTCTGTCCGGTTTAAGATTACTCACGGTTTCTTTAAGTACGGAGATGGTAGCGGCGTCTCGCTTTGTTTCCGAAGAAACAAAGACAGCTGAGAGGCGGAGAAGGCAATGAACTCCGAGGGAACCCTCTTTCTACCCCCCTAAAAATAAAAATCCAGGGAGAGTTAAGAGGTTCTACCTCTATTCATGCGATCTCTACCCCTTCCCTTCGCCCGGGAAGGGGATTGCGAGCCGCGGGCCAGCTGGTAAACGTTGTGCTCCGCGGATCTGACACCTTCTCAGGAGGACAGCTACAAAGTAGCCGCCATCTCCACCGCTTTAACCACCGGAAGTCTTTTGGGGATCTCTTTGTAGTTCTAACTCCAATTTCTTAAACTCTTCCCTTAGCATTATATATTGTTTTTTCTCTTTGTTCTTTTTCACCATAGAGCTTATAATTAATCTTCTAAAGCAGTGGTTCCCAACCTTTTCTATAGCCCGCACCCCTAGAATGCTTCTGATATATTCTCACACCCCTTACAAAGGTTAGAAATAACGGCAACAAATTATGCATATACACTATAATTTTGAAAACCCAAGTTTTCACACCCCCTGGAATATCATCTCACACCCCTGGTTGGGAACCCCTGCTCTAAAGTATGCTTTGGCCGTGTCCCATATGTTCTGGAGTGAGGTTTCTTCTTTTTTATTTTCTTTAAAGAAAAAATTCATTTCCTTTTCTGCTATTTCTATAAATTCTTTATCTTTTAATGGTGATTGATTCAGTGTCCACCATGATTTCTTCTTTGCTCCTCTCCAGGTCATTTTTATCAGATTATGGTCAGCCCAAATATTGGGTTCTATCTCAACGTCTTGTATATTGGTTCTTAGTTCAGGGGACATGAATATCTTATCAATTCTGGACCATGATTTATGTCTGTTCGAGTAAAATGTATATTGAATCTTTTTAAAGTTCATTTCTCTCCAAACTTCCGGTACACGTATTTCTTCTGTCATTTGAAAAAAAGCTTTGGGAAGTCTCTTTCTTCCTTTCCCCTCCTATTTTGCTACTTTTGTAATCTAATTTTCATCCACGATTGCATTGAAATCTCCTACTAGACAAATATTTTGATATTCCATTTCCAATATTTTCCTGTGTAGTTTTTGATAAAATTCTTGTTTATTGTTTGGTGCATATATTACTATCATCAATATCTTTTTTTGATTTATCATTGTTTCCACCATTAAGATTCTTCCTTCTTCATAGTCATATTGGGGAACGTAGTTGCTTACATAGCTTTTATGGGTGGGACATTTAACTTTGTACTGGGAAATTGTTGCTTGTATCCAGACTTGGTTTATTGTCATGGTTCCGACAGACAGAGACGAATAAAGCAGATCTCTGAGGCTTGCAAATTCCTCAAAGAACATGTTTATTAGTTACAAAGTATCAGCATGGTCAAGAGTGAAACCAAGTCTGGATACACAAGCAACAATTTCCCAATATAAAGTTAAATGTCCCACCCATAAAAACTATGTAAGCAATTACGTTCTCCAATATGATTATTTGGCGGGCTTTTTATGCAACGCCAGTCCCTAGTCTCAGGAGCAGCCGATGGGGACAAAAGATTATTTTGACTAGTGAAGCACCTGGGCAACCCCCCTCCCTCCGTTCTATGTGGCAACCTAGAATGAGAAGGAAAATGGCTGCAGCCATGCTCATTTGTAGAGCTGATACTCTCTTCCTTTAAAAGTAGAGTCCAACCTGTATCTTCTGGAATTCCAATTGATTAGGATCCCCTCCGGGACCAGCCATCTAAAAGTTACTCCTTTTTCATTTAGTTTTGTGGTCACTATCCCGATTTCTGATTATTTTTACCATATTAAGCATGGTATTTCATTTTTATCATCATCATCATCATCATCACCACCATCATCATCATCATCAAAATAGTATTATTTGGAATTTTAGACTTCATTATTAGCATTTTAAAAAGTGATGTTAGCATTTTAACCTGGCGGTCTGGGCCTCTTTTCTAACTTCAGGAAAATATATTTTTGTTTGTTAGCCAAAGCCATTTCTACTGATATGGGAGAACTTGTCTTTCTAGCACTTTAAGCAATAAAGAGTATATTAAGACTCATTGCACAGTCAGACTGGATTTGGAATTTATATCCACCTATCGAGTCCTTGCCAAGGACATGCAATAGGATGGTGTTAATATTATTATTATGCTTGGTCACACAATCAGCCGGATGTTTAGACTGGATTTGTCATTTTTATCAACTTACTTAGCCTTTCCCAAGAACTTAGGATAGGCAGATATTAATGTTTCACTGTGTTGAAGATATTATGGCAGGATATATGGTCCGAGTAAAGCTGCATTTTGCAATTGACTGAAGATAATTTTGTCAATGCCGATGGTGTTAGAGTGGTGCACCAATTGTTTTGGAATTGCATTCAAGGCACCTAATAGTATTATATGGTTAATCACACAGTCAGCCAGATGTTCAGACTAATTTGGCATTTTTATCCACCTATCCAGTCCTTCCCAAGGGACAAGGAGATGTTGACGTTTGATGGTATTGTCGCAAGATGTAAGCTACCCTGAGTAAAGCTGTCTTTTGCAATTGACTGATGGTAAATTTATTAATGCCAATGGTGTTCAAGTGGTGCTCCAGATGTTTTGAGATTGTAACCAAGGCTCCTATTACTATTGGTACTACCTTTGCTTTCTTTTCAAATATCATTTTCTTGTTGGGTTTAGTCTGTAATAACAGATTATTATTTCTTTGTTTTCTATCTGTGTATATGTGCAATGGGCAAATACCTTTTTTTTCCAGCATTTCTACAGCTGCTAGCCCTGGTTGTTCAGCCAACAGTCCTGAGTCATATAGCCCATTTTTCACCAGATGTTCAAGAACTTCAACACCTAGTGTGGTCTTTATTGACTGGGCAATGATTGAGCCAATATGGGTTTCCATAATTTACATCTCACCATAATTTTTATGAGAGACATTCTTTGTCTGACTCCTTTGAGATCTGTCCAGTATTGTTGAACCCCTGAATGGAGACCGAATGGAGCAGAACAGTATTCTGAAAGTCCTTGAATACACTTAACAGAACAACAGAGTTGGAAGGGACCTTGGTGTTCCAACTCCCTGCTCAGGCAGAATACAATTTCAGAGAAATGGTTATCCACTCTCTTCTTAAAAACCCGCAATGTTGGAACACCCACAACTTCCGGAGCCAAGTCATTTCACTGATTAATTATTCTGTCAGGAAATTTCTCCTTAGTTCTAAGTTGCTTCTTTTCTTGATTAGTTTCCATCCACTGCTTATCCTGCTTTCAGGTGCTTTAGAGAATAAGTTGACTCCCTCTTCTTTGTGGCAGTCCCTTGCAAGTTTTAAGAATGTTACAAACTCAGATGGGAAAAAATAATGTAACCAATAAATGTGCCATTTGTGGAATGTTATGTAGAATCAGTCTTTTCTACTGTTTAAATTTTTCACTAAGATGTTTAAAGGCCTGGAGACTAAAACATATGAAGTACGGTTGCAGGATTTGGGTTTGGCTAGTCTAGAGAAAAGGACTAGGGGGGACCTGATAGCAGTATTCCAGTATTTGAGAGGTTGCCACAAAGAGGAGGGGGTCAACTTATTTTCCAAAGCACCAGAGGGCAGAACAAGAAACAATGGGTGGAAACTAATCAAGGAGAGAAGCAACCTGGAATTAAGGAGAAACTTCCAAACAATGAGAACAATTAACCAGTGGAACAGCTTGCCAACAGAAGTTGTGGGTGCTTCATCAATGAAGATTTTTAAAAAGAGACTGGACAGTCACTTGTTGGAAATGTTATAGGGTCTCCTGCTTGAGCAGAGGGCTGGACTAGAAGATCTCCAAGGTCCCTTCCAGCTCTATTCTGATTGATTGATCAGTCTTTTATTGTTTCACTTGCTTTCTGACGTATCATATATAACAAATGTCATTTGTTTCTGTAGTTTCTATACCCTATAAAAATACTTGATCCCCCCCCTAATAAATGTTTTTCAGATGGGCAAAAAAGTCTCTTTGTGTGTCTCTCAAATTCAGGCATCAACTTATCAGTTCCGCGCCACAATCGGGGTCCCTGAATTTAGAGGCAACAAAGTAAGTTCACTTTCCCTGCTGGAAAGAGACGATTTATTTTTATTTGTAGGCAAGTGTGCTAAATCGAACATATAGCTTATATGATTTTGTGAACTACAAAGGGAACAAGTTGTCGTTCACAACAGATTTCAAAACCTGGTTATGCTATCCCTATCTCATATTAGAGTCGAACTCCTGGAATAACAGGGAGGGAGGTTTACCTCTGGTTTTCCTTTTCCTTTTCATTTAGGACGGAAGGCGATAAGGGCGTATCGTTCCACATCATACCTCACTTTCGCTCGAAGATCCGTTTTCTCAGCGTCTTCAGTCCAACCGCTTTTAGCGGTTGCCTAGATACTAGACGCTCTACACAACAGAAAGCAGGACAGGCAAAACCCGCCTCCGAGTAGTGGTTTTTTTTTTTTTCTAAAGTGGCACGTAACGTCCGCCGGCTTTTACCATTACAGTACAGTACCCGTATATCAAGCGCATACTTTTTACGTCATCAGCCCTGGCTACACTTCAGGAGAACACATTTTCACCGCTATGTTCAAGGTGAGAAAGTTTCCTTAGTACTTTTAGGAACAAAATTGGCGACATAGCCTTCTCCATCTTTGGTGCAGCTCCTGCAACGTGCGTGTTTTGAGCTGAGATCATCTGTAGAGCAGTACTTGCTCCTTGGGCTTTTGCTTGTTAGTTGGAGATAGTCTAGGCGGGCTAGGCGAAGGGGTGGCGGTATTGCACTCATGCCCGTTTATCCAGCCTCGCCCACCAATATTTGTTACCGAGTACATAAATAAGGAACGGCAAGACAGGAGAAAGAAGACGAGCGCATGATGAGATATGAACAGCTTAGTAACTAAAAAAAGCGATGATTAAAATTAAAGTAACACTTCCGAATGTATAGTTGAGTGTATAGTTGTATGGTTGAATGTATAATTATATTTATTAGAATTAGGAAAAAGTCACAAAATATTAACTCTTCCTCATGTTAAATGATGCAAAAATGAAAAGTGAAAAAGACTAAAACACTCACGTTTTAAAAAAAAGTTAGTTCAGCTGCTGTATTCATTTTAAAGTTGATTGCAAGATTGAGATAGAGGATTGAATGAATGCATACTTTTGTCAACCAGAATGCCTCCAGAAGTCCTGAATCACAACTTTTGTGGTTCCTAGTCAGTATATAGTTGCATATTTAAACTAGAGGAAATAGTTTTGGAGAAAGATGTTGTAAAAGGAATGGTGAACTTCTTAGTTTGAAAACATGTTAGTCTTGTAGAGTAGATATAATTTTTTTTTAAAATACATTAAACTGATACGGAGGAATTACACCAACAGATAATTGTCTAGAAATAACATCCAGTTCATAATCCATATGAACATTCAAATTCATATTGTCAACTAACCTGTAAAAGAGAAATTTTCCTTTTCACTATTGAATGGGAAACTTGTTTTCAGGCTGACTGTTCATTTATAATACAATTTGGATATATTGGTTTATTCCTTAGTTATATTAACTATTTGTGCTGTCAGTTTAAAGTTTTTTTTTCTATTAAAATAGAATAATAAAATAAGATCATTAAGTTCAGCTCCACTACTCAATGTAGTTAAAGTATATCCAACAGATGGCAGTCTAGCTCCTGTTTGCACATATTCTGGAGACTTCTCCAGGAAATTGATTTTACTGTTAAATTGTTAGATAGATTGAAATTGTGTATTATTTATTTATTTATTAGATGGGTATTTATCCTGCCTTTATTATTTGTAAGTAACTCAAGGCAGTGAATATACACAATGCTCCCTTCTATTTTCCCCACAACAATTCTGTAAAGTAGGTTGGTACTGGAAATGTAGCATTTATTTATTTATTTATTTATTTATGAGACTTATATACCGCTTTAAGTGCAAGCACTCTCTAAGCGGTGTACACCAGTAAGCAATGTATATATATATATTGACATTGCCCCCAACAATCTGGGTCCTCATTTTACCTACCTCGGAAGGATGGAAGGCTGAGTCAACCTTGAGCCGGTGAGATTTGAACCGCTGACCTGCTGAACACAGTCAGCTAAAGTGGCCTGCAGTACTGCACTCTAACTGCTGCGCCACCTCGGCTCTTAATTTTGAAAATTAGGATGTATAGTAATTATTATTTATTAAATTTATATGCTTCCCAATTCCTAGAGACTTTGGAAAGTTTACAAATGTCATGAAAACATGACATGACTTTAGAAAGTTTACAAATGATAAAAAACATGAAAACATGAAATGAATATAACAAAAAAAGGTAGATATTACAGTATAACCAACCAAGTTTAAACAAAAGAACACCACCTAAATTAAAATGAGGCTTCAGTCATCCCTATCAAAGGCCTGGACAAAGAACCAAATTTATAACCAAGTCCTATGTAGATCTAAACTGGCAACAGTGCAGCATGCAAATCAGAGGAATTACATGGATATAATAAGGCACACATTGAATACCACACCAGTTGAAGCCTCTGGATACTCTTCAAGGTCACTCCCATGTAGACCACATTGCAGTAATCAAGCCATCATGCTTATATACTGTATATTTATATTAAATATAAGTTCTAAATATATATTTAAAACAATCTATTACCCTCTTTTCTCTGAATCCATTTTTAATGTAATTGATATTCATGGTGACTAAATAAAAGTGTGCATGCTGGGCAGTGTGAGAAAAAACATTATTGCATGTTTGCAATAGTGGCGAATATCTGTAGCTTGGGTGTAGGATGAGGGTGAAATTTGTTCTCCGAGCTTGTGGGTTGTTTTCTTAAATATTTCATTACCAGTGTCTATACTATGTAGCTTTTTCTAATGGCTGTGCATGTGGCAACTCAGGACCCTTCATTGATAGCCACTGCTTCTCTTTTGTGGTCTTTGCGAGCGAAGGGTGAGTGAAAGAGCAAGCGAGGGGCTTTTGCGAGCAACGTGTGAGTGAATGAGAGCAAGAGAGAAGTTTGTGCGAGCAGCGTTTGAGTGAATGGAGCAAGAGAGAAGCTTGTGTGAGTAACATGTGAGTGAATGGAGCAAGAGAGAAGCTTTTGCGAGCAACGTGTGAGTGAAGGGAGCAAGAGAAGCTTTTGCCAGCAATGTGAGTGAATGGTGCAAGAGAGAAGCTTGTGCGAGCAATGTGAGTGAATGGTGCAAGAGAGAAGCTTTTGCGAGCAACGTGTGAGTGAATGGAGCAAGAGAGAAGCTTTTGCCAGCAACGTGTGTATGAATGAGCAAGAGAGAAGCTTTTGTGAGCAACGTGTGAGTGAATGAGAGCAAGCTAGAAGTTTTACTAGCAAAGGGGGAGGGGGGTTGCGAGTGAAGTATGAGAGAAAAAGGGAAAAGTGAGGGGGAGAAGGGAAAAAGAAAAGGCATTGACTTCTGAGTTCCACTGTTGCAGTAGGAAGGAAGCATTAACATTGAACCTCAACATTTTACTTTTCCATAATATAAACTAGCCATTTCTATAACAACAAATGAATTTAACCAGTAAAGCCCAAAATCCTCTCTCCCTTTTTTTTAGTCATCAAGTTTTTTACACCTTGCTAAGCACTGGTAGTACTTGAATATTGTCATGTCCTAAAAGTGGTACAATCTGTGAAAAGATTGAAAAGCCCTGTTCTAGGCTATGTAGTCACATGTATTCCCAGAATTGTTTTTATTGATACTTTTTTCCTAACTCCAATTTAAATAACTAGAGTTCTAATTAAATAGTGCCCAACCCTTCTATTTGAAAACAGAAAGTCTCTATAATTTGCTGTTTATCAGTAGTACACATTCTATCTACTTAGCCCAAGAGACAGAGAATAGTAATTAAATAATAATTAATAATAATTGAAGTGCCTCAGCAGATGGTGTTGTCTGATTTTCTCTGGCCACAGGAGCTAAATAAGAGCATTCTTCATTAAAAAATGGTTGGGAGATGACCAGGAAACTCCGTGACTCTAGGTTAGATTATATAGTCACAAAATATTCTACACAATTAAGGCATTAGCAAATCATTTTAATGTTGTTGAGAAGTGAACTATAGGAATTTGTCACTAGCAATTGAAAGAGATTTTACTTTAAGTGAAGACAAATCTTGAATATATCTGTTGTGCTATTCAGTATAGTGGGGGGGCTGCAGTTGTGTTTTTTTACCTTTACTGTTTAATGTGCTATTGCAGTGTTTCTCAACCTTTTTAATGCTGCGACCCCCCCCAACCGGTCGTAAGTCGAGGACTACTCAACTGGTCGTAAGTCAAGGACTACTCAACTGGTGCAGCACCGTTTGCAGAATGGGACTTTTGGCGGGCTCAGCAGGGCAGAGACAGCCTGGACAATTCCTATTGGCTTTCAAAAGCCAATAGAATAAAAGGGAGTAGCACAGCTAAGGAAAAGGGGAAAAAAATGGTGGACTGCGTTGTTTGGCAATCCCTGTGAAATGGTCGTTCGACCCCAAATGGAGTCCCGACCCACAGGTTGAGAACCACTGTGCTATTGGATGAAACAAGTGATGTAATTAATGACAATTTTGTTTTGGCCAACTCTAATGAAAAGCATGTATTAGCATTAAAAAATTTAAGCCAGAGAATCATTTGTATAACAAAATCCAGTCTAAGAAAATATAGCCATACGGTCATATTGTTTTGTTCTTGGTTCTGTATGGATTGAATTTTGAGCAATTTGAGCTGTTCAAATTACAAAATGGAAATAGCCTGTATTGTGACTCTATGTCCTAGAAAATTTGATTGAGCTACTCAATGAGTAAAGTTCTCAGGTTTATGCCTGGGTTTTCCATAATTAATAATGTTTGTATGATTAAGTACTATGAGCCATTGACAACTCACATTATTAATACAGAGTATAGCGGCAAAGAGATCCATACATAAGCAATTATATTTTTAAAAGTAGGCTTACCTTCTTTGATCCTGGGAGAGCAGATACCGTCCCCTCCAAATTATATAGTTTGTAGCTATGGCAGATCACTGCTGCTTTAGCTGAGTCCTTAACACCCAAATAACATTCTTGCAGAGTAACTGCATTCCCTAGGAAGCTCAGTGTGGCTGCTTTGAAACCATCCTGTGTTTTCTCTGTAAGGATTTACATAGATCTATTTGTGATGTGATTGTTTTATAACAGGACTTTTCAACTGGTGGTATGCGTACCACCTGTGGTACTTTGCCACGTGGCAGGTGATATGCAACTGCTAGCCAAGTGTAGCGGGGCAGGGGAATGAGCCAAAGTGACCCAAGCCTGAGGGAGAGGCAGCTGCAGCTGCAGGACTGTCTGGGCTCTGTAGAAGCCCCAGGAGCTGGCAGGGCTCCAGTTGATTGGCGCTTCTGGAAGCAGCAGCACAGAGCTGGAGGTGAACTGAAGAAAAAGGGGGGGGGGAAAGGAGAAGCTATAAAAG